GCTCCTCCTTCCATTCTCTCCTCCATTTCCTTATAGGGTAACATGTGTGCTTGTCAAACAAACCCCTCCTAATCCACCCCCATCCTTTTCCTTGTAGGGTCTCCCCTTCCTCGCACGCCATTTCTGGGAGACTCCCCAGCCTCATACATGTGCACAGGAACATGCATTCGCGCGTGCACGCATGCACACACACGCACAACCCCGACTTTCCCCTGTCATCTCCTCAGTAGCTGCATAAATGGTCCGTTCAGCACCACTGCGGCATTTTATGAAAGATAAACACCCGAAAACAAAAAGGATGATGACATTATTTGTTCACATTTATTCCACATTAGAATCCACACGCCATCCCAGACAAACACACAGGCAGGTGAGCATACAAACCTGCAAACAGATATGTATTAACCCAACAGGACTATGCCTCTTTCAATACATTAGACATGACCCTGAAACTAGTTTGTCCTGTTTGACGCTCACAGAGGGCTCTGCACTAATCGCCTGGTTGTCCAGTGTGGTTTAAAAACATACGGAAGCCAGCTGTAGGACGGTGTTGTCACTGTCAACTGCACCGCCTAAAGAGTCAGGAAGGGCAACCCCTGCCTTTTTCCTTTTTTTTTTTTTGTTAAAGCTGCACTGATGCCTCACGCTGAGCACTTTTAGAGCAGTTAAGGGAAGCACACAGCTGGAGGAGGAGGAGGCCCGCTCAAGATTTACCCCCGTCCAGAAAGGTGTTTACATCACAAAAGGTTTCCCATCAACATTTTGCCTCATGCCTCGAACCAGCTAACAATCAGCGCAAAATGAGTGACTCATCCAAGTTGCCACGGCAACACGGTTCATCGGGATCAGTTAACGACCACCATTGTTACCCCTGCAAAGAATCGATAACAAGATTTGGGAGGTGGAGGCGTGCCAGTGTGTGGGGGGGTGAATCCTCACGACCCGTTTCCAGTTTGTGCAAGCGTGGCAGGCTGCGCATAGCTTTTGCAGCAGGTAGGCGTCTCTCCCTTGCCTCAGGGCACACGCTTAGGTGGGGCTTGAGAAAATATTTCTTCTGCACCCGATCTGCTGCTCTCAACTCTCTCGCAGGAGAAAGAGACAATTTAAAAAATATATATATTTAGTTATATAAAATTAGCAAATGCAGCGCCATCAAGGAGCTGATAAATTACCCCCGCTGTAAACAAACTCGGAACACTCACATATGGACATAACTGCAAAGTCAGCTTTACACACTGAAATTGCGTCACTGAGCAAACTAGCCGCCTCTAGTTGACCTACAATATGTGATTTTCATGCTGCTCGCCCGTGTCTGTTCTGCTCCCTCACCTACGAGCTTCCTTGACTGCGGTGGGGAAGCGTGGGGTGTCCCATCACCCTAAAATTGTTTTAAAAATCTTCTCCTCGTGCTCCCATTCCTTCTCTCCTTCTCTCCCTCTCTCCCTTCAAACCCCATCCCCCTCTCTTCCAGGGGCTCTTAAAGGAAAACATTGAGATAACAGCTGCCAGGGCCCCGGGGAGAGCGAGAGAAGGGAGAAAAGAGGTCAAACAGTAAAGAGAGCAGGAATCCAAGGTACAGCTGAAAGAGAAGCACACACACACTCATACTGACTCACACCAATTGAAATGTAATGATATGAACATGACACTTCATGCACCAACTTTGCAGCCCACTGTGTGCTCGAGCTTGTGTGTGTGTTTGTGAAATGTGTGACACAGAAATTACAGTGAGGAGGTGTTGTTAGCTGAATAGAAGAGATGCAGAAGGGAGGACGAGAGAGAAAGAACGAGCAATAAAAAAAGGAAAACACAACACAAGGGCAGGGACAACTGTTCTGTGGACACCTGTCCCTTTCGCTCACAGGCTGGAGCGATGTACAGAGACAGCTGCAGGGCCAATAAAGAAGAAAGAGTTTTCCACTTACCTCTCCTCCCCCCCTCCAATTCCCTCTCTGCTTCCACTCTCCTGCTTCAGATATATCGAAATAGTTGACTAGCAGAAATAGCGCCACTGAACCGCTACATCCAGCTGACACGCTGTACTGTATGCTCACATAAGATTCTCCTGACCATACATAATACATGGCTGAGCGCAGTTTCTGGCAGTGGCAGCCCTTGATGTTCAAACTGCGTGCACTTCTAGCTTTTGGCAGGGTTGGGGGGGGGGACAGATGCCACAATAACAGCGTACAATAACACAGTGCCGCTCGTGCGGCTCGGCATAACGAATCATAATTGTGGAGATACGATCTCCAGCCTGTATCTCGCTGTCATCAACGCCTGCTACACTACTTCCAGTGTTTATATCCCACTCGTAGCAAGTAGCTGCCGAGTCCTGACAAGAGCCCGAAACGCTCTCTGACTGGACCCGCTCTAGCGATCGGGTCAAGTAGACTCCTCGTCTGTTAGTAGTTAATTAACATTTAATGCTCGATGACAGCCCGTTCTGATGCCGTTTCGCGTACGGCCGAGCCCGAGCGCCGACGAGGAGATGCAGCGGCCGTGCGCGCAGGCGGAGGAGGATATGAAAAGATACGGGGATAAACACTCACCGACAGCACGTTAGGATAGTACAGTCCCATCATCGTATTCTGTGCAACAACTCAAACTGTCGTCGCTCCTCTCTCCTCTCTCTCCTTTCCTCTTCTCACGCTGCCTCGCTTTCTCTCCCTCGCCGAGCCTGTGTCACCTCACCAGCTCAGTCTCTCTTGTCTGTCTCACAGATTCAAAATCTCCCTCTCTCTGCCCCCGCTCGCTCTGTCTGCCCTGCCAATCCCCTCCCCACCTCCTCCTCCTCCTCTCCTGGCTTCTGTCCCTGTCACTCTCCCTCACTTGCTTACTTGCTTGCTTTTCTTTTCTTTCAACCCCCCCTTCCCCTCTATCTCTCTCTCTCTCTCTCTCCCCGACTCCCACTCAGTCTTTTCTTTCCCTCTCCCACTCGCTCCTTTGCTTTCCCTCTACCCCCAGCCTTCTGTTTTGCTGCTGTGCCCTTGCCTGCTCATCTCTTCTGACTCTTCTCCGGTCCTCCTCCTCTCCTCCTATCTCACCCAGATAGCCTAACGCCTCCCCCTTCCTACTTCTCTGCCTCTGTCACACCTGCAAACTTTCCCCTCCCCTCTGCTTTCCTCTCATGTCGCAGTCCTCCTCTCCTCTCCTCACTCTCTCTCTCTCCTTCTATTCTCTTTCTCCATGTAGGTGAGTTAACTGGGGCTGCTGGCACCACTGGGAGAGAGCAATAGACGTCTTTTCTTCTCTCTCTCTCTCTCTCTCAGACACGCACCTTGTTACGCAAATGAGCCGGTAATTTTACACATCAGTCATTTTTTTCCTGCAAAAGTCACGACTGCAACGATACTAGGTCATACCGAGCAGCGTTTTTCATAACACCGCCAACATGGCCCAAGTCTGGCTGTTATCACATTCAACTTAAAGCTGTGTCGGACGATATTTCTATAAAAACAAGGAGGATGAAGCCACAGCGGTGTAAGCTCTGCAGCTCCCCTTAGGTTTACAGAGCATTTTAGCACCTTTTAGATCATTGTTTTGGCTTCGCGCTCGCTGCATTTTTAAAAATATGTATCAACCTGGTTTCAGCTCCCAAACCCCCACGGTAATCCGCGTCCAGCAGAGAGCTAAAGATAGCATCATTACAGCTAAACATATTGAAGCATTGAGCAGATTTTTCTCAGAAGAAAACGACACCACTGGGGGCACCAAACACGCCCTGAGCAGGAAGGCTCATCAAAGATGCAAGAAAAGATGCCAGCACCCGCCGAACAAATCGCCATCGTTTCTTGAATAACGACCATCGACTACACGAGTAATGAAGTGGCATTAATCTTCAGCACAGCACACTGCACGTGAATCCTTTGCTCAAATGCAGAACTCCAGCGCGGCACAGGTTTGCGCACCGGGTGACAAATACCATGCCAAGCCATTACCTGATGATTTTACTTTATATAAAAAAAGTTTGAAAACTACTTCAATAGACAGCCTGCCAAGTTTCATACTCCATCTGCAAAGAGCTTGTCTTCCCCTTCACACTTGGGGCTTCTGCTACTCTCCAGGCTCTTCCTTCCAGGAGTCTTTGATCACATCATTCTCACACTGCTGCTGACAGTTTAGCACCTCAGTGTTGTGGAAGCCTCCGCTGCCCGGCATTGTTTTCTTCCTCTCTGTCATTTTTTCCCCCCTCCTGGTCAGAGGCCAAATCACACCTCCAAGCCCCCAAGCAGTCCTTGAATGACTTCTTTCGATCCCAACAAGAGGCTGTTCAGACAAGCCGAAACTTTAAAACATCATCATCAAAAGTAAGATTAAGAGTGAAATCAAAACTGTCTGTTTGACTTCCAGGCTTCTGTAATACCCACTTAGCTGTACTAAAAAAAAAAGAAGCCCATTCTCATACTGGGGCAAATAAAAGCATTCAAGTGAAGACAGATAAAGTGCAGATAAGCAGCCGGAGGTTGTCGGGCACCACGGAGTGCGAGGGATGAGGAGATTACGGGCAGAACATGAGAGGATGAGTGGATGAACGGAGGATGATCTAAGGATTAACCACATAAACTGAGCAGTCTAATAACACAATCAGCAGGCTAATACAAAGATGGGCAAACATGCTGTAGTCTTACACGCACACACACATAAACACAAACAAGATGCAATGCAGTGTGAGTGCGTGTTTGTGGGCAGAAAACTATAACATCAGCATGTTTAAAGGTGCTAAAAGAGAAAGAAAAGGTTGGATTTGCCATCTGAAAGATGATTACTAAGTGTGCATTATTGGGAACAGAAAGGAAAGTGGGTGGAGGGTAATACTGGAGGGTTGTGGAGGCGTGTCTTTTACTACACGACTGCTAATTTATAATCTACACCCCCACCTTGTGGTTTGAAGAGCTACACTGAGCCATATTAATGTTATCGGAATACTGTATAAATGGAAGGAGTGGAATGAGGCCACATTACACAACGTGGATTTTGGCACATGTTTTTCCTCTTACCTGACTATGAGACGGGTATCCGTGATAGCTGAGCGTCAAGGGGTCGTTGTTCTGAAAGAGAGGAGCAGATTTTTCGGAAACATGGTCAGAAATTTGTGAAGAAAAAGGACAAGTCGCTTAAAAACATTTTCATGCTTCATTGTTATTCACTCAGACTTTTTTTCCTTCTGTTTTTATGCCCACTAAGCTGTTGCCTCCATATTTGACTTTACAGCTGCGTGCCGTTTCTGACTCCTAATCAAATTAACTCTGTTCTGTGACACACTCCTGCTATCTCCCAAGTCAGTCTCCTCCAGAGTTTTCCACCCAGTGGATCTTTTGTCTGCTTGCAAAGCCGTGATAACGGGGGCGAGTGAGATCATGCGAGCAGTAGATGAAAGACGGGAGAGAAAGAATGAGTGTCACCGCGGCTCTTAAATCATAAATAGGTCAGGAGTGTCAGCGAGCATGAAGCCCATCGGTGTGAAATGCGATCATGAGCCCTGATGCAATCTCCAACACATCCCTCTCAATGTTCTGGCTGTGCAAAGCAGCGGCGGATACATCAAACATCTGGTGAGTAATTACAGTAACACAAGATGCAGAGGAGACAAAAAAATAATTTGTTTATGGCCAAATATTAAACATAAATCATTCCTCTACTCCCTAAAATAGTTTGTAACTCACTTTATTCACTCTCATAATACCGTGTTCCAGCTTTTATGCTAATGTATTCCATTAAATGGAGGCGCTTTTCACAGCAATTACAACACACTTTGAAGGGAGAAAAAAAAACAGATTTGCCTGTCTCTGACTTCATATCACTAGATTAGAAAACAACCCAGCTTCTCCCTCCTCCCTCTGTCCTTCCCCCTCTGATCTTCCTTTCATCTGGAACCAATGTCCCTCGTCTGCTCTGTACCCAGGGGGAACACTTTGCTCTGTGCGCTTCACAGCTTGAGTTCGCCTGATTAATACTGTAGCCATCTAACTCTGGACCCCATGGGGCCGTTTCACTAAAACTAAGCACAACATTTCCAAATGTAAGAGGCTCGGTTGAGGAGGAGGGAGCAGGAAGCGTCTTCGTGATTGAAAAATGCAGCTTGCGCGAGTCTATCTCAGAGCCAAAAATGTACTTAGTGAACTGGCTTTGGGAGGTAGAAGCTCTAAATAATGAATCACCTCTTAGAGGCTTGAATAACATGAATAAAGTATGAACCTTACTTTACGGTGAGGCCAAACTCTAAACACAAAAAAATAAAAAATAAAACACTGAAGGTATGGGGGCGCACGAGATTCACGCTGCGTCACAGTGAGGGCGGCGCTCTCACAGGCAAACATCTGGAAACATATGAGCAGGAAAATAGGGAAGGACTGGAAATTCAACAGGAAATGGGCAGCAAAGAAAAAAGTGGGGGGGGGGGGGATGGAGGGAGCAAAGACAATGACTCATACACGAGTGGAGTCATGTGCTTAATTTCCTTAAGCAACTCAGCGGGATGAGCGGGGGAGGGGGGCAGTGCACTGGAGTCAGCTCAGGATGAGTGTATCTCAGTGTCACTCAACACCGCGGCCACTTGCACCGAACATGAGAAAATAGAAAACTCTGTACTTCAGGTAGTCAATAAAGGCGCGCTGACTCGTTCCGGGGATGGTAATGACTTTTTTCCTGGGGAGGGGGCGGGGGCTAAAACAACAGAAGAAACTGCAGGGGAAGACCGGGTGAGCAATCACGAGAAAGTAGCAAAATGACCTGAAGTCAACAGATGGCAAAGATGGGGAGGAGGAGAGGGGAGAGAGACCAGCTTGCAGGAGGTGGAGGGGAGACGGGAGCAGTCCTGTAATAATTAAATCTGAAAGGAAGCACAGGATGAGAGGCACAGTTACCTCCAGGTTTCTCCTTCACTCAGCAGAAGTATCCCACTGTACACATGAACCCTGATACCACTCTTCAAAAAAAATAAATACAGGTGGGGAAGGTGTGTGTGTGATTGTTTAGCACGTGTGGGATGTCTAATTTGGTCACAAGACTCGTGTCTATTCCTATCGCGCCTTGGGACCGCTACTGTTCTGATGAGGAGGAGGAAAATAGGAACTACATTTCACTACTCTGAGAGTCATCCTACCTAACTGCAAAGCAGGGCACTGCATACACTCGAGAGGATGTGAATCCACTTCTTCCACAAAGCACTTATGTGCTAAGCCTCCAAACTGTTGGCCAGAAGATCTAAAGTTTATTTTCCCCTCGGTATACCTCACACAGTAAACCTACACGTGCTTCTTTGAGGGTACGCTGGTTGGAGTCACTGGGGGGGGTTTGGAGGCTGCTTCGACCCTTCTGGCATGAAGATAATCATGAAGCAGCATCAGCTGCTGGATCACATGCTACATAATGAAACCGCTGAACACAATTGTGATTTGGATCCCCCAATTTATTTCAGATCTGATAGAGAGAGAATTAACATTTGTATGTAATTATTTACGGCACCACATAATTGCCCATAATGATTAATCTGCATTATCCCTTCATTCCAGTGAAACCAGAGACCACTATTGGATTTTTGGAACCGATGTTGATGACATTGTGGCTGCTGGCCCCATTTTTACATTTAATATGTCAGACTTCCCTCTAAAAGGCAGTTAAACTCCTGTAAAAGGGTGGAGCCTGATGGGAAGACTGAGTAGCAATAACTGGACCCATACATCATCTCTTTTATGTACTGTATTTAAGAAATATTACACAAAAACTACAAAGAAATCATCACATTTTTCAGCCCTATGCCCCAGATGTAATGCTCAAATGGTTTCCCAATTAATTTACCAAGTGTACCAATAAAAAAAAATTAAAAATCAAACTAGAGATGCGCGGATCAACCAGCCAGGGAGCGGAATCGGCTGATATCCAGCGCTCCTGGCTTTGACCGGTGACCGGCCGGTCAGCCTCACATTTGTCTGATTACAAGCTGGTCCGTTTCATGCACGCACAACACACACACTGCGGGGCAGGGAAAAAGTCAAACGTAAACTCACATTCACATGCCAAAATATCATTAGTGTTGAAGCTCCTTACTGTAAGCAAAGACACAAAGTTTGCCAAAGCAAACCAGAAGAAAAGCTACGGCTTACTTTGGCAAGTCTGAATAGATTTGTTCGTAGCAACAAACCTAATCGGGGTCATAAATCACCCTCACTCAACTGAAAATGGACATTTTAAAGAAGCTAGCAAAGGGAAAGTGGCTAAAGCTAAAGCTATCCAGAAGTCAGAGCTAGCCACGAGCCAGCAGCCTCGGTATGAGCAAAAGATCAAAGCAGTTAGGAGGAAAAATATGGAGACAAGAAGAAAAGAGAAAAAGGTTTCATAAATCTGCTTCACCTACTTTTTTTTCCTGTTTTGGCTAAAGCAGTATTCATTTATTCAGGTAAAGGTGATTCAATCTTCTTCACTTTAACTAACAGGAACTGAGAGAAGACCCAGTAACAATCTGCATGTTGGATTTAAGACGTAATAACTTATTTTATTAAAGAAATGATAATGTTTCTAGCTACTCAGAGAATCACAATTTATTATCTAACACTAAACCTTTTATTATTGGTGGTTGAAAGTCATTAATATTCATACTATACACTATACACTTATATATAATGATTTATTAATAGGGGAGAAAGACCATAATAGCACAGTTTTGTGCAGTTTGCAAATAGAGATTGAAGAGCAATGTTTAAATAAACATCAGTATAACACTACACCCCATCCAAAGCCAGAAATCCTGGTAAATCCCCTAACCGCACAATTTGGTAGCTCAAAAGAATAACTTTTTAGTACTACAGTTAAAAATCACCCCAAGATATTATATTATGCAAAAACTGGGTAATACAAGACAATAATAGCTCCGTTTTGGGAAATTCTCGAACACTGAGACTGATGTCTACCTTTCAAATAAGCATGAACTGATACACTGTTACACACCATCAACACTAGAAATGCTGTAAAGTCTCCAGACTGAAGCTAATATAAGGATAAGTACACTGTAGCAACATCAAATTTCCCCCCAAAGCCAAGTCTCAAAACACCGCCGGTCTTCAACATGAATCAGTCGAGAGATTTCTCCTTGCAATTCATCACAGAAAATCAGGGTCCCAAAAACTAAACAAATATTCTCCACCGGCTGCAAGAGAACATTTTTCTTGCTGACATTTTCATACCATTTCAGTGCAGGGGCTGAGATGAAAGTACAGCAGGGTGATCCACCTACATTAACGTCCTAGTCAAGTCATTTGTCCTCAGCGCTGTCGCCCCAGGCAGGACCTTATTAGGTTAGAGAGAGCCCCGGTTCCTACGCAGAGTGACAACAAAACACGGGCCGCTCAGCAGCAGGCCAGATGGATATTGAAGCCGACAAGCTACTCTCGACAATTCCCAAAATCTGACCAGAGCTGAAGACGCAGGGTGCCGTTATGAATCCTCTGTCACCCTGAAAAATGCAGGACTTCCCCGGTGCTGCACTGGAATGCAATACAGACTGATTGTGTGTTGTTGGGTTGGCGGGGAGAGCAGCACGCTCATTTAAAATCGGAGAAGGGCAACGGCAGAGGCAGGAAATCAGTAGCTAATTTCTCTGAACTCATACTGCTGAAAGCACTCAGCTTCTTCTTCCCTTTTTCTTTTTTTTCTTCCTTTCACTGGCTTTATTTGCCCTCGTTAGCTGAGCATTCAGTCATTCACTGCTTGCTGCACCGATTTATAAACGCACTGCTGCTCTGCTAAAACTTTGTAGCTTTGACTCAACAGAGCACTTCCTCCCACTCCACTGTGATGACATCAGAGCCTAATGAGAAAAACAGCAGTGTCAATAACCAAACGGGAAAGATCCCATTATTAGGCCACAGCGGTATAAATTACTTTCTCTCTCTACCGCAACCACACCCCTGTTCTGCTGGCTTCACAGGTCAGAGTTCAACTCTTGCCGTGTCGTCAGCAATAAAGACTTTTTAAAAAAATCAAGAATGGAAAAAAAAAATAAGGAAGGGAGACAGCGTGCTTTGCAGGAGCCAGGGTACCAGATGCTGTAACATTTTCCAGTATTTACCCTCCTCGTGAAGATTAGCTTTACAGACGGGCCTTCTCTGTGATTTTATAGACGTTTCTTGGAAAGTCAAGCGTCCCGATTTAAGGAACTAAGGAAAACTGAACGTCACCCACCCCAGTTTGCTTCTGAAACCTTAATGGTGTCAGCGGGTTAGAGGTATAAAAATACGTCAGTGTTTTACATACACACACTGGGTCTGGGGGGAGGGGGGTAATTCGTTAAGCATGTGGCACAAAGCACAGTGGAAAAATGGTCTGTACAGATGAGGGTTGTTATTTTTTGTTTTCCCTAAAAGGCCAACGGTAAAAATTTAAACCCAGTGGAGATTTTGGAGTAATAATATAAATCTATGGATGAATTTTCTGCCTTTTACTTTTTTTAATGACATTATTTACTGGTTAATTTTTATAGTCTGCAAAATGTCAGAAAGAAAGTTTATGGTCACATTTCATGTCTTCAAACGTTCAGACTGCACATGTTTAATGAGAAAACATAGAAAAGTGGTGAAACTGCACGTACAGAATGTATGAATAATAAACTTAAGGACCACGTATGCTTTTTCTTATTTTCTGTCATATGTACAGTGTCACAGTGGTGTGCTATCATATTTAACACTCAAAATTTCTAATATTGAAGCTTGGTGCTCTAGTTTCAGGCTGCTTTTTTTTTTTCATTTTTTACGTTTGGGTCTGTGTGATGTCAATGACAGGGGATATCTCGAAAACTGCCATCTCAGCTCTTGCTGTGAGAGTACAGAAGCCCCGCCCACTTTTTTTTTATTTAAGAGGGGCCGCCAATCCAGTCTAAAAGAAATGTGACCTTAAATGCAGAGGATAAATTAGAAGTATTTAGCTGAAGTGTATTTTATTTATGTTAGATCTTTTTTAACTTGTAGTTCTAAATTGGAAGATTATTGTGATATTGAAATATAAAAATAAAATTATATTCTATTATTTTTTTCACGCCTCAAAATAAGCGTCACACTCGCGGAAGCCGGTTAACCCGCCGAAACGCCAGGCATTTATCGAGACTTTCAACCCCAGGTAGGCTAATTATGGATCTTCGGATCCACATTATGACAGCAGCTATTCTCAATCGTGAGCTATGTTAAAAACAAACACCGCTCACGCCTCACAGATGACAGCTTACAGTCCTGCGTAAAGATGACGTGACTTCGTACAGCCCCGATTTGCAGACGCTGTGCGCAGAAGCTCGGGAGCAGAAGTCCCTTTGTAAACATACCACGGCAGCAGCCGGCTGTAGCTTTTCAGCTCACAGCCCGACACATACCAGCAACAGCATAGACGGCACAGAGGTTAAGGCGGCGAGGCGCGATTGCGGGTGCCGCTCAGGTACGTCCTCCTAGACCACGCCCCTCCATACACATTAACCAGGTAAAATACATATTTAGGCAGAATTTTGCAAATATCTATTTTTCTTTTTTCAGCAGCATAGTGCTTTTTTTCCCAATTATTTTTTAAAAGTCAGGTCAAGGCTCCAAAATCCCAAAGGCGATATAAGGGTGGCGGCTCACAACAGTTTTTGTTTGCTGGATCATTTTAGTTCAGCTGGGTGTCTTTCCTTTTGTTATATTTCTTTAAGAGTTCAAAATGTGTTCATTACATAAATAAAATGTAATTTTCTCTTTAGCACTTCATGGATTTCATAAGCAACACACCTTAGTTGTTCACACAAAGCATAAAGGTAAAAAACAATATATACAGTGTTATCTTCATTTTAGATGTCAAAAAGTATTTGCGGCTCCCAGTGTTTTCTTTTGCGTGGAAACCGGGTCCAAATGGCTCTTTGGGTGTTAAAGGTTGCTGACCCCTGAGCTAGACAAAGGTCCAAAGAAGGATTATTTTAAGACACTTAACGTGGAGTTGGAAATGAATCTAACGGCTGCCCTTTATTTGTTTGACTTCATCAGACCTGCAATGACAGCATTAGAAGAGAAATTCACTTGCTATATAAAAATATAGGGCTGGAAGATGTTTTTAATAACTCGCTAGTGCACTAATAGGAGCTTTACACAATGGACTACAGTATATAAGCTTCATCTGGTTTTCACCAATATCTGTGTGACGGCATCCCATAAAATCCAGGGCCTTAAATAAGGATCTCAGGGATCAGTGCGGTTATAATGCCCCCTCCAGTTTGAGATGTGATCCCATTAGCTGGAAACAAAGCCTCTTTGCTGCCAGTGATAGGGCAAATCTGTTCCTGCACCATCTAGGGAAGGAGGGGGTTCTCCTACTCTAATTTCCGGACTGTCCAGCCAGTTCACGTTCAATACGTTTTAGGGGCTGAAGCTATTGATCCGTGCTCTTCTCTCCCACTCTCTCTCACACACACACACTCTTTTCCCTGCACATCTGTTTTTAAGTGCATTACATTTCTAGCCGTGTCTGTCAGCACTCCCTCGACTGACAGCAGGACGACGTTAAAGCCAGCCATTTAGTTTTCCAAACTGGAGCAAACAAGCCACTTCACCTCCATTACTGGAGCTTTCAGCGATGGAGAAATAGCTTTCTGTCTTCCACTGGAGTACTTCACCCTACATAATCCACTTTAATGTTATCCAGAGCATCTTCGGGTCCTCATGTGACGCTCTATTAATAACAATATTTGACCATTTTGGGATCAATGAGGGAAAGGGGCGGAAAAAACAACAACAACAAACTGATGACTGCTAGTCCACTTTAGCAGTGGTGCTCATAAAAGCAGGGGTGTTAGGATCCAGGCAATTGGACTGATGAGGTTTAGGCTCCTTGGTAAAATGATCATTGTTTACTCTAGATAGCCTGCAGTCTGCCCCCCCCAAAAAAAAGGTCAAACAGTCAGATATGGACACTGACTCGTTGTAAAGCAAATGTTGTACACACTTATGCCACATAGGAATGTTTTCTTTCGTGTTTGGTGTAGTAAAATGCTGGACGTGTTTACATTCTTCACCCTCAGCCAGGGCTGTCTGGGTTTTCATAGACCAGAAGATGATCTTTGGACAGGTTTTCGAATAACTAACCAGTTAACTATGAACCAGGCCAATACAAACCGGATTACTGCTATTCCCCTTTAAATTAACTGTCTGAGCTTCACCGTAGCATCTATAACAGTCCAGTTAACGCAGTGAGTTACTTTGTTACTAATCCAGCTCCATCTTCAAACAGCATGTAGAGTCATCTACAGCTGTGGTGGCATTTCCTGCACAGCTGGTAATGGGCTGAGCAGTCACAGGCCTGTGTGCTGGGCCCTCCGCTACAGCTCTAAACTATCCGCACTGATCACTCATCTGAAACACCGGTAAATCGTGAGATTACATTAACAGCATAGGCCAAATTATTAAGAGAAACCTGGCCTTGCACCACGATTGCGTTTAGCCGTCTTTGCCTTATTGTATTAGGAAAAAGAAAAAAAAGAAAAAAACAAAAAACAATCCTCTCTGTACCTGACCAACCTCGCCCATTCCTCCTGTGCCGTCGATGCGGGGACGCTTGCACTCAGCGCCGGTCGAGTCCACCAGAGCCGCCGCTGTCTGTCCGTCGGGCTCCGGGTCTCCTCGCTTCATGCCGCGAACAGCTGCAGGAGCGCCACCGGGGTTGGGATGCACCCCGGCCATGGGGTCCAGCTCTCTATCCCGGTCTATGAGACCCCGGGATACAGGCAGCATGATGGATGCAACGTCGGTCGACATTAACATTTAAAAATCTTTTGTTCCCTCTCTTCAGCTAAACGGGGCTAAAATAACCTAATCTAGTGCACCTCTGTGCTTAAATCGTCGGAGGGATTAAAACAGTCTTTTAATAATCCAAGTAGCTTTCACTGTATTTTGGGCCTTTGTATGATTCCCCCCCAGTGAGTTGATGTATCTGGAAATGTTTTGGCTGCCTGGCTTAAAAAATGTCACTTGAAAAAAAAAATATATATATATATAAAAGGAAATCTCACACAAGCACCGTTTTCCCTGTTATTTCATAACAGAGTCCCCTGCAATGCGAGCAGCTCTGTCGGGCTAATTTGCAGCTGTGTAGCCCCTGTCTGCTGACCGTGTATGTATTTACTGCGGGGATGCCTAAGAGGCCTACGTTATTTCAGATCATAACAAGCCAATTAAACAAACACCGATCAAAACAATGGCTCCTGAGCTTAGCCTACTGCCTAGTTTCCATTTGCTCCCCCCTCTCTTTCTCTCTCTCTCTTTTTTAACCCCACTCCAGGAGAGCTGTGTGTTTTTTAAGAGCACAACATCAATACCCTACCGCAACCTCAAGATGAAAAAAACCCTCAACATGTCTTCCCCGTCGCCCTTTTTCCTCCCTGTTAGCCACAGACTTTTACCACAGAGCAGAGGTTCACTGAAAGTCAATCCTCCTCAGGAGCTCTCTCTTCCCATGTTAGTCCGCAAGTCTGCGCTTAAAGAAAAGACGGCTTCTTCCCTCCCCCCAAAAAAACAAAAACAATAAAGCCAACCAACCAACCGAAGGACGGACAGGCGGACGGACGGACGCCGGGGCTGCAGCGTTTCCTTCTCCCTCTCTTTCTCTCGCTTATTATTTTCTTTCCGCTCTCCGCTTTCCCGGTGTGTTCATGTAGCGTGTGTGTTACAGAAAGGAAACTGTCCTCCCTCCCTCCTTTCCACCCTCCTCCTACTCTCTTGGTGTAGTCATTCCCCTCCTCCTATCTTCCGCTCTTGCCTTTGAACGCAGAGCCAGGCAGCCATGCAGCCTACAAAATACACGCAGTGTGCCGCAGTGCTTCCATACATTTCACCGAGGGGGAGGTGTGTGTGTGTGTGTGAGAGAGAGAAGGGGCGACACGCACTACAATTCAACCCCTCTCCCCAAAAAATAAAACTGTAACTGTAAGCTGCTTTTACTATTCACATTTTTGTTTGTGCGCAGTTCTTCAAAATAAAAGTTTTTGCTCTTTAATGTTGGCCACATTACATGGCTGAATATTGAAAGGGGGTGGGCTGCTCGGGAAGATTTCATGCCTAACTCATTACACAACCGATACGCAGGCCAAGGTCTTCACACAAGCCCAGCTGTGAGTCATGCAGCATGGAGTACCTTATGTTCCTCTGGCATTTTTATTGCTTGGATGACACCCAGTGGTCAAAGGGTACCATGGGAAAGGAGCACTTCAAAGGGGAACTGTTGTAGCGATTTAAAATACAAACAAGAGCAGACTTGCAGAGGTTTATTACATGTGTTGGTTCAGCACAATCTCGAGTCGCTTGGCCTGAATAGTCCCAGTTTAATTTATTTTGGAAAAAAAACCTTTTGCAGGAGCCACGACTCCTCCCACTCTACCTTGCAAACATTCTCGTTTTCCCTCCCCAACTCTGATAACTGGATATTTCGGGATATACACTTATAATCACAGTTGAGTGACTTCTGCACAATAAAGTCTCCCTTGCACATTACCGCAATGCACAGGTTTAGCATTTTAATCATTAAGAATATGCAACGGTTGTTTTTGATCTCATGCTTTATAGCCTTTATGCCACACAGACAGCTGCAGCCTTACATTTATCATTTTCACATGTGGATTCTCAGAGTTAGTTTCTATGCACAAATAATAAAATTCAAGCTTAATAGTAAAGTAGACAACTGCCCAAGGACACCAAGAGCCAGGGGTTTACTGTGAGTTGCACCTAAAAGGGCCTTTTAGGTGATTTGTGCCTTATTAAATAAACTCGAAGCTCAGCCCTTATTAGTGGGGCGACATTGGAGCATCTGTGGCTGAGGTGGTAATGATGGATTGATCCACAGCTCCTCTAGTCTGCATGTCAGTGTATATCTGAGCAGGTTACTGAACCAAGCTGGCCCTAATGCATCCATCGGCACATGTGTGAATGCTAGACAAAGTGTTAAGACCAGGGATGTCAAACTCATTTACATTGCAGGCTAATCTTATGTGGGTCAGACCAGTGAAACACCCCTTTCTTTGAGTGTACAGAAACTAAAATATACAATCTCCAAGACAGTATAAGGAAAATAATTTAAATTAACAGGATGTCTCAGTTTTTCCTACATGATAAAGAAGTGCAGCTGTAGTAGAAGAAGAGTTCTGCTGACAGATTTACATACAATTTTTAGCTTAGAAATGTACCAAAAAAAATCAAGAAATTATCAGGGTGTAGGGAAGGTCTACATACACAAAAAAAAAAAAAAAAAAAAAAAAAAAAAAAAAAAAAAAAAACCTGTAATACTTTGTCCAAAATAGAGGTCCACCACTACATTCTCCAAAGTTGTCCAGTGGGCCAGATTGGAGGCTTTGCCAGTCCAATTCTTACCATTGGGTCTCATTTGTGACACCTCTTTCGGGGAGGGAGGGGGTGTTGTAATAAGTACTCAAATTGAGTTGGGAAGTGCCATCAGAAGGTTTCCCCTGGCATACATGGTGGCTTTTTTGTAGAATGTGTTCAGTCACAGTTGCATTACTACTTGAAGCTGCATAATAATCATGAATAACATTCAAACTGTGGAACGAGCTTCCTTTAGAGATTAGACAGGCCAGTTCTTTATCCGTTTTTAAGTCACTCTTGAAAACCTACCTCTTTACCCTGGCCTTTGACACCGTGAGATGTTGGTTTTTATTTTAGTTGATTCGATGCTGTTTTATCTTGTTTTTGTTTTAATATAGGGCTGCTTTAATTTTATGTTGGTGTTTTATTTATTTTGGTTTTTTCTGTTATTCTATTGTTTTAACTTCTTTTCTGTACAGCACGTTGTTCCTGTGCTGGGTATTTTAAAGTGCTTTATAAATAAAATTGGATACTGTGTAATGAGGTCAAGCATGTCATTTCTGTCCATGCTGAGGTTTCTACCTCATTCTTCGTGCATAGCCTCCAGTCATCCTGCTCTAAACATGCACATAAAACCTACAGTATGTTCCACATAAACTTTAACAAAGCAAGGCAGACCCATGTGGGCTCAGTCTACTCCACAATGATAGCATGTCCACACAAAGTTGCCTCGCACTTTTTTTTTGATGTACTGCCACTTCCTACTGTAAAAGCTAATGGCTGTCAGTTTAAAAAATAAAAATAAATAAATAAATAAATAAAAAAACTCACACATGCTACTTGAGAGCTTTTATTGGTAGTTAAGAGTGATGGCTGAGGCCTGAAAAAGAAAAAGGGGAAAAAAGGGCAAAGAAATGGTTAAGAAATTAACTTTGAAGTATATAAACAAGACTTAAACACAGCTGTTTTACTAGTCAGACAATCATCTTGGCTAATTTCATGCATTTACTGTGGTGTAACTGAAAAAACAGGAAATGGAAATGAATTAATAATTCAAAACTGTCCTCATTACTAAAACATTGTCCTGCTGTCATATGGAACTGTAGCTACTACTGGCTCTCTGGCTGTTCTCGGAGAGTAGGCGGCTTGTGAAGGAGTTCATTCATGGCAGTTTTGTTGCGATCCACCCGAGTTCACAAGAGTGTGCTGGGTGATTTGAGGACAGAGCGCTAATTATCCTCACCGTCACTGGCCAAAGCATCCTTCAACACAAGGACCATCACGTGGCGAGCAGATTTCAGTCGAACACATGAAGTAGATCTGAGAGGGAAGAAAAGTAGAGCAGGATTTAATGTTGTGTCCAGTCTCCAGAGTGTGCAGCGTAATATTACAAACAGCTGCTGGCAATTGAGATGGGGCCAGAATTTGCAGCTTACAAAATGGCTCCTCCACATCTCATTAGGAATGCTGCCTAAGAGATTTAGAGATATAGCCACAAATCGTCTTCAGACAACACGTTTCCACTAGATGAAAAGATAACTCATCTGAACTGGCACTAATAGAGAGTCTACAAGCACACATTTGTTCACATTTTAACCAAATTAAGACAGGAAGCCTGGATACTGTACTGTGCAAGAGTCCCGAGTCACCCCTCATGTCTTTACAGTTTCCTTGCAAGGAGTCACACTTTTTTAACATGTGTTAAAACAGTTTATACCCAATAAGTGTATCCAGAACAAATGTTGTACATGTATACATGTCAACTGTTATGTCACAGGACATTATGAAATCATGTTTATCATTTCAAGTTTGATTTTAACATGCAGGTCTGTGTCTCTGTAAGCTTTGAGCTAACAGAAAGGTGTATTTTTGCAAAGCCATGGCATCAAAAAAAAAAAAAAAAAAAGTCATATCCCAATTTAACAAACAATCCTAGGCCTACAGAAGTATTTACATGCCTATAGAGTAGCCCAAAACCATTATATGCAGAACTCAAGTGGCTGTGTTCCTGCTTACCTCTTCATCCAGATCCTTAAACTCACCATCAGGAAGGAACTGGAAGGTTGTGATGGTGAAGCGGCGGGTCTGAGCATCAGGAGAAAGTGGCTGAGGATGCGATGGAACAGCCTGTGGCGGTGCTGGGTCCAAAGGGTTGGGACATCTGTGGAATAGATGAGAGCCAATGTGATAACACGTTTTACTTTCCATGTAAAAATCAAATATTTGTGAGAAGAAAGTTTTGATACTCCTACAGACCTCTCCTCCTCCTACGAGCTCAGTTTTTTCCCCTCCTATGTTCTTTTCACATTTTTAAACCTACCCATTGTACAGCAGCACCCACACAGCTTTTCCAGAGCGGGGGTAGGCCACGCAGAAGTGTACCAGCAGAACTAAAGTGGGATCTGGAGAGTTGAGGAGCCGCACTTCCAGATTGAGAGGCTTCCCCAGCATCATCTTCAAGGGCTGGTGATACTGTGGGTAGTACCTTTTGTACTGGTCATCTGCCGTGTAGGTATATAGGAATAGCATTTCACTCTTTCATAAGCAAGCACAAGATCTCAAAGCTGAACTGGATGCAGTTTAAGATATTCATACACTGCCTAAATATTTAATTTCCCCACAATTGTTTGTTATTCAATTATTTTTCCAATCCATCCCAACCAGTGTTGAATGGTTATTTGATATTAAAAGCATTTTGTCTTGAAATTAGTACAATTTACCTTCAGCAATCCTTAGCTGAACTCCAAATGCCCCATAGGACTGAATTTCAGGACCGAGGGTGGGAGTTTTAACTATGTAGCTCACAGTCAGAACTGTTCCTGGCATGTACCTGCACTCCACCAGCAGCCTGAGAATTAAGACAGAAGATGTGATAAATAATATCTAGACAGTTTAATCATTTATTGTCATTTCTTCATCTTTGTTGCATGTTATTCATCCACCAAACTGTCCATCATGGAGTTATTCACTCCATCCTTCAGTGACATGACCGAAGCTTTCTGTGAACACTGTGGGCATATTAAAGGTAAATATGGGTCTGACCTGACAGGAGAATCTCTTGTGATAGTGCCATAGTTGAGGCTGATTGCCTGAACCATGTTGATGACTTCTACCATATAGACAACAGTTTCCCCCAACATCTGTTAGGACGGGGAAAAGGAATTTCTTAATGCAAACCAAGGGAATCATGGAATACAACTGGACTTTTCATTATTTTCCCCAATTAGCTATAGACTCATTAAATCAGCACTCTAGTAACTATAGGAAACACTAAATATTTGAAGTAAATGTGTGCACTGGTCAAATCTCACCACTCTGCGTGTCCCACAGCCATCCATCGGGATCTTAAACAAGGCGTAGTCAGAAGTCACTTTCTGAGGTCTGCAGGT